ACTAGAAGGATTGTTTGTTTGTAATTAAGCACAAAGCTACACGGGGGGTACCTGCTCTAGCCATTCCTAATTTAGCAGAGAAAGACTAGAAGGATTGTTTGTTTGTAATTAAGCACAAAGCTACACGGGGGGTACCTGCTCTAGCCATTCCTAATTTAGCAGAGAAAGACTAGAAGGATTGTTTGTTTGTAATTAAGCACAAAGCTACACGGGGGGTACCTGCTCTAGCCATTCCTAATTTAGCAGAGAAAGACTAGAAGGATTGTTTGTTTGTAATTAAGCACAAAGCTACACGGGGGGTACCTGCGCTAGCCATTCTAATTTAGCAGAGAAAGACTAGAAGGATTGTTTGTTTGTAATTAAGCACAAAGCTACACAATGGGCTATCTGTGCTCTGTCCACCACGGGTATCGAAACCAGGATTCTAGCGTTGTAAGTCTGCAGACATTCCGCTGTGCCGCTGGGGGGGACTAGAAGGAAGGCAACTAGTCATCATCACCAACCGCCAACTCGTGGGCTACTCTTTTACCAACGACCGTTACATTATAACGCCCTCACGGCTGAAAGGGCGAACATGTTTGGTGGGACGAGGATTCGAACCCGCGACTCTCAGATTGCGAGTCGAGAACCACAACCACCTGATCATGCCGGGCTACTATAAATGAAGCTATTAACACTGTGCTAGAGAGGAATAACCACCACCACATATTTGAAAGACTCCAGTTGATTCTGTAAAGTATAGGTATGTTCCGATCCTAAGACTGGTTACTATCGAGTGTCACTCTGGTATCTATGTTTCTTTTGACCCCTGAAGAATTTGTAGTAAGTTTTTTTTTTGGGGGGGGGGGGTTGACATACAACAGTAAAGACAAACAGTCAGGTGACAGGTACACAAAGCACGTATAAAAAAAGACAATTAACCTTATATTCTAGATAAGCATAATTATTATTATCATTTATTTTTAGAAAAGTCGTGGGCCAGGTGTGGCCTATTGGTGGTCACGTCGGAGGGTCTGAGACTTTAGATCTGACAACACCGAACACGTTCCTCAAATTCTGCTATGAAAATTAAGTTCAGAGTTTGCTGTGACAGTTAATCCAACCCGTTGGACGTTCTGCACATTCTGATGTGACAGTTAATCCAACCCGTTGGACGTTCTGCACATTCTGATGTGACAGTTAATCCAACCCGTTGGACGTTCTGCACATTCTGATGTGGCGGTTAAAACCCACGCCTATAAACACGTTCTGCACATTCTGATGTGGCGGTTAAAACTCACGCCTATAAACACGTTCTGCACATTCTGCTGTGGCGGTTAAAACCCACGCCTATAAACACGTTCTGCACATTCTGATGTGGCGGTTAAAACCCACGCCTATAAACACGCTCTGCACATTCTGATGTGGCGGTTAAAACCCACGCCTATAAACACGTTCTGCACATTCTGCTGTGGCGATTAAAACACACACCTATAAACACGTTCTGCACATTCTGCTGCCACGGGTAATCCTGTTACTAGTTTTAAAGAGCCAGACAAAAACCTTTGTAGTGATGGGTGCTTCTGTTTGGTTGCCTCCTCTGTGATCAGTAGTTCATTCTTCAACCAAAGAGTTCGGTGATTTGGTCATTAAGCCCTGGTCTGACGTGGCCTGGTGGTTAGGGCGTTTGACTCGCCATCTGCGGGTTCGAATCCCCGTCACTGAACATGCTTGTCCTTTCAGCTGTGGGGGCGTTATGATGTGACGGCAAGTCCCATTATTCGTTGGTAAAAGAGTAGCCCCCAAGAGTTGGCGTTGAGCGGTGTTGACTAGCTTCCTTCCCTCTCGTCTATCACTGCTAAATTATGGACGGCTAGCGCAGATAGCCCTCGTGTAAGTTTGCACGAAATTCAAAACAAAGATTGTTTGTTTTGGAATTTCGCGCAAAGCTACACGAGGGCTATCTGCGCTAGCCGTCCCTAATTTAGCAGTGTAATACTAGAGGGAAGGCAGCTAGTCATCACCACCCGCCACCAA